AGCCCGCTTTGTGCGCACAAAAGAACTTCCTGCAAGCCCCACAGTTGGCATGTCCCACGGTCACTTAGCGGCATGCAGTCATCTACGCTATGTCTGCCTCCCTCCCCCCGTCCTCCCCCTCCCGTAAACTGCTCCATCAAACCCTACCCGTACAGCCAGCCTTCGCTTATCGACCCCCACCTCCATTCCCACTACTCACTTGTACGAAAGGACGAACACGTTTAAACTCGCACCCAGTTTCCATATAAATGTAAGGCTTGACGAGAATTTGTCGAAAGTACACGAATACTCGCCAAAACCGGCCTTCTGTATTCTCTGATAGGAACTTTCGCAACTCTAAATCCAAATCAGCAAAATAATTTTCAACTAGCTATAAGACTGAAATCCCAAACCTCCTTCCTATCAAAAAGCATGCGTTGGACACTTAATGGACACACTAGTGAGTTGAATCTCTTAGAACGGATAGGAAGTGGTAACATATCGGCATGTGGCCGGACGTTAAATTAGCACCTGTTCTGTTAGGATAGTCACTCATGGAAAAGATAGGTAGGGCCTATGCTTGAGGGTTGATAGTGGATGGCAAGATGAAGGCTTGACTGATATGCTCCGGTCTAAATCCTAAGTTAGCCCCGTAGCAGAGTTTCCTAAATATTTCAATGAATACCTTCCACAAATCGGATTAAAAGTGTTTAAGCCTATGTTCGTAATGGCCTTGAACTAGAAGTGATAATGTAATGATTCTGAAATGAATTTTCCTATACTCTACTTTCGCAAGTAGGCTTTCATAATTTCCTCAGTGCAAAACTCTCGCGTTGTTTACGGGTGAATTCTTTAAACTTAAAAATCTTACCTCGAAGTACAAGAAAATTTGACGGTACCACACAATGTGGAATTGCAGTCCTCAGCATTTTTATAAATATCTGATTCAGATTCTCCCTTACAATATACTATCAGGACGAGTACTTCAATTAGCCAGTTGAAAATCGAAAGAAAAGAAGAGAAATCTTGTAAATAAGAAAAAGACGTGATCTCTAGAATGGCAATTTAATTCTTCTGAGCTTTCGGCTTTACACGAGAAGCCATCGTCAGCGAAAGCAGCAAACGTTGACCACTCATTAATGGGTGAGGGAAGGTGGCACTTGTGATTCATCTACGCCCACGCCACTTTCCTGCTCACGCTATCTTACAGTGTGTACCCTACGTGCGTCCCTGGAGTTTCGGCGTGTGACCTTGACTTGGCAGCCTGCGTGCTTGGAAAGGATCTAGGACGTGGTTTCTGGACACGCGCAGGGATAGCAT